CCTATATGTAGTATTTATTCTTAATATCTTTACACTATTATCAATAAGTACATCTCAAAATATACCTTTCAGTTTAAAATCATATGTGCATGTTGCGTACAATATAATGAGATTAAAAATGAATTTATAACGATTTTGAAAATTTGATTAAAATAAGTGCAAAAAAATGTATCCTACAATCTTAAACAAAAACTGGGTACTAATAGAAAACTAAGACTGATGCACACAGATTTATCAATATGTTTATTTATTAAATTGTTATGTATCTACTTATGTTTTCCCACTTATGATTATCGTATCGGATAGCTCCTCCGTTCATCGTTGGTTCGATAGAGTGACTATACTATCAGCTCTTGACGGAGCGCAGCGTGCGGTCGTTTGTCGAGCTGCGTCGACGGTCTCTGCCTCCGGGAAACGTTGCGACGTTGACAAATGTCAACCGATTTATTATTATAATTTTTTTATTCGCCTGTCAAACTGTCGTAGTAGCGCGCACTTAGCTCGTTATTATACAGGGTGATACGCGAGCAATAAATTGTGTCTTGGGATGCCGATAAAACGGCTGAAGATGTGTGTCGTGGACGGGTTGTTTCGTAGGAGCGCTAAGGGTGGTGTGAAGGCTTAAGAATTCAAAATTTGTTACTTAAATTTATTCTATATAATAATATAATCCTATGTCGGGAATTTGCAACGTATTATACTAGTTAATTATTAATCCGCTACCTGGTGACTATTCGTCGTGTAATATTCGGCCATTTTCATAAAAAAATAAAAAATAAAACTTTCGAAAAAGGTAGGTAAATAATAATAATAATAATAACAATAAATTGTTGACAATTTATCGTGTGATAAATAAACACAAAGAAATAAGTAGATTTTTTAAACATTCTTTAGTTATTATTTCTTAATCTTTCTCACATATTTCATTAACAATATATTTTCATTATTTGAATGCCAATACCTAAGTAAAACATCTATTTTAATTTATTTTCGAACGATATTTGAAAATAATATTTCAATATTTTGTAAAAGATAGACATGTAGGGAACATTTGTTATAGGTAGTTGGTACACATACAGTAGGTATACTTCATAGTTCATAGTATTCGTGCAGATAGTATCAACAACTGATACGTGGCAAACTCAATACGTGATGCTTCAAGAAATAAGTTCAGCATTTTAAAGAGAACTTATAAATAACGAATCTACTAAAAGCTAGAAAAATTATAAAATATCGGGTCATATAGCTTTTTGATTATATTTTTTTTATCACCAGAAGGTACGCATTTAATTTCGCGTCACTTCGTTAAAATAACTCGATTTTTTATCAGTTGATAAAATTTATACCATATTTTTACACGCTGTTTTCCGTACGATTGCAAAAAAATATTCATAATTTTATTATTTATTATTATTTTTATTATTTTTATGTCAAGGTCCGGCGGTATGGTGTACGATTACGATGATGATGCGTGTATTATACCGTAAATTATATATATATATATATATATATATATTGTATACTCATGTATAGATACACTGACGCCATTCTGTAATTTATTAGTAGTTTTTTTTCTACTGTTAAATCGCACGCGACTTAAAACACTGCCAAATAGTTATGAATCAAATGATGCTGAAAATATAGCGGATTATATGCACGTGCGATGAATTTCTCATACCGTATCGTAGAAATACGTATTCTTTTTCTCTGCACGATTCTCTACATTCTACATAATATAATATAATACTATAATAGGTATGGGTGCGATATATTATATTATCATGATCGGCGGTCGTTTCGAACCAACTAAACGCGCGATAATTAAATCAAACCTATAGCTAGTGTTATTATTTTTAACCAAACATCTTGCTGCGGTATACCATCGTTGTCGACAAATAACGTTTTAGGCATCCGTATAATATGATTTAGGTATAAAAGCACACACGCGCATTCGTGTAATATATTATTATCATTATACATAGCGACGACGTTGAGGAAATTACGGTCACCACCCGGAGCGCTGCGATGCGGCAAACCTATAATATAATTATGTTTGGCTGGGCACACGGGTGTACAGATATTATTCATAAACTGTTTATGTATATATATATATTATATATATAGAATTGTAGGTATATGCGTACAGCTGATAATATAGCCATGTCGGCAGTCCGTGGACACTGTATAATATTATAATTGCCGAAAAATTTGAAATAATATGTAGTTACTGGTCGTTAGATTTTTACGGAACAAAACTGGGTATATATTGTGTAACCGAAATTGTTAGTCGCAGTAATTGATCGGCCAGTATGATAGTAACCGTCAATAAGCCTGCTCATAGGACTGATTATGTATATACCTACTTCTTTTCCGTCATCATGTAGTCGTCTGCCAGTCGTCTTGTAAAGTCAACGGAATTTCAGTCATTTGCAGTTTTTATTAAAGTTCAAGTGAATGTTACATACGCTCGCGCCCAGTTCGGCAGTAGTCACTGATCACCCGACAGTCGTGCGTAAGTGACCGGCGTTCCGATAATGTTGCTAGAATAATATTTTAAAATTATTTCGACGCTTGCGCGAAATACAATAATAATAACAAAAGCAACAATAATAATATAAATTCACCACCGCCACTCGTTGAACGGGAAAGAGATAGAGAGTGAAAGAGTTCTTGACACACCATTTTATAATCGGAAAGCGTGCACACACACACACACCCATAAAATATTATATGTGTGTGCATAGTACGGGGATGATCGTAATTAATAATAAAAGCCTCTACCGAACCCAGCGAAAACGATAATTCATATAATATAATATTCCGACTTAACGGATAATTAGCCGCGCTTGGTCCACCTGCACTTTTTACGTCAATGTACCTCATATATAATATTTATTTTATATGTATGACATGCTCATGTTATATACGCATAAGCCGCAGGTGCGACACGACGACAATACGTACGTCGTATACTGCAACTATAGGAAAATGTGTGGCGACGATGACGGCAAGGCTAGTAGGGTTCTTTAATTTTAAACTGGTTCATGTCTATGAGGCGGAAATCATAAAATCAACCATGTTGAAAAAAGTACTATAGTTTAATTATTTTTTTTGGATTGATGTACGAAAACGAATCTATATTGGTTGTATACAGCGCGGTCATCATACGAGGTAAATAATTTTGTCTTTGATTTGCAAACTTTCGACCCTCGGTTGAATAGATCAACTGCAGAGCATGTACACTTGAAGCGAATGATTGTAGTTCGAGTTTGTATAAAAGTCATTCTATCTACTGTAATATAACGTTTCTTTTTTTCAAGCAACTCAACTCGGTGTAATATATTAGTGTTATATAAAACCAGTCTACAATTATATGAGTCGAAGTATATTATATGCAATTTTAATCGATTCCCTTTTTTATACAGGTAATACTATATCGTTATAATATTTATACTATAATATTATACAGCGTACTATTATTATAGCTACTTGTATATGACGTAGGTACACATTTATATAATATGATGTATATATTTATAAATACACTAAGCAGTGAGTGAGAGCTACTTAATAATATATATCGCAAGTACCTAGATGTACCTTTATACACATTCTAGATATCCAATTAAATATAGGTATATAAACGTCAGTTAAAATCTTTTTTTTTGTGAGTTAATTGGTCTGATCTCGTAATGACATAATATAACAATATGTGCATATAGCCACTCGCATCGAGAATGCGGATAATGTATACACACTATAAAATATAAATTCGTATTTCCATAAATCGTGTGCGTTATATTATATACATAATATATAGCTTATATTTTATGATCAAACGATGAATTTTTTATACCGATGTTTAGTAATAGTCTCGTGTACAAGAAAAAATAATGATATTAGTTGACTACAGTACGGCTCGATATATATTTCTAGCAGTAAATTGCTCTAAATAAGTGACTTATACTTTACATTTCCGATACAATGAATTACTAACTAAGTAAGTTAGTTGCTGCAGTATAAAGAATCGAAACTAGCCGATTGAGTTATAAACTTGTTATTACATCAATAACTTTTAAACTTAATTTTAACTTTCTAAACAGGTTAGTGGTTCGGCTTTGTAGATAATGGACGCGAGACATCCGACACCGTCTGCACAGGCGCAGGAATTGATTGTGATCGTTTAATGTAATTAAACTTTTTATTATGAATATACATACGAATTAATATCGATGAACAAAATAATAATACCTAATTTTAGTAGCATTATAAGAAGTATATTAAAAGAAAGGATGTATCAAACGCTTATAATAATTAGAGTCTTATGTACCATTTACCGTTTTCTACATTCTTGTAGTTATCATATAACAATAAATTTAATTTAAAATCGTTTTTCGAAATTAAAGTGCTACATTGTCGAAAATAATTATGTAAACGCTTTAATTAAATTCTTTTGAAATTGTGATGTTATAGCAGTGGAATCATCGTATAATTTACGATTTTTCTTAATATAAATATTACAATTGTACCTATACTTTTCAAAACGGTATCAAATCGTAAAATCCAATCTATGTTGGTACGACGCGTCCACGATAAATAATTTTTTTATTATGTAAAAAAGAGTTTTGTTTATATTTACATTTTTTAAATAATAATTGTCATGGCAATGATAATACAAATGAATATCAATTATCATTATTTAAACACTTGAAACTATATTATTATGTATAAAAAAATAATCTATTCTACACATTTTATTATTACAAATTTGTAGATATGGATATAATTAAAGTTTAAAGATTCAGTGGAGTGACCCCTGGAATCGTGTCATGGCCGGGGATGAATTCACTAATGGGGTTGTGTAGGCCGATGGTGGTTGATAAGTAAAGTGATTAGGGGACTGACCTTCTAGTATATTGTATATATTATAATTTATAATAACATAGTATAGATTTATCTTTGCGATATTATTTGATTTTTACGTCCGTCATGGTTTGCAGGAGGATGTTCCCCACGTTGCGTGTGTGTTTCCGGAAGCTGGACCCGAACCAAAAGTATTCGGTACTCATTGATATCGTGCCAGTGGACAACAAACGGTACCGGTACGCTTACCATAAATCGTCGTGGTTGGTGGCCGGTAAAGCCGACCCTCCCGCTCCGCACCGGCTGTACACGCACCCTGACTCGCCGTTTACCGGTGACCAGCTACACAAGACGTTTGTGTCGTTCGAAAAAGTCAAGCTCACCAACAACGAGATGGACATCAGTGGACAGGTGAGAGCTGTTTTTTTAAATATTAATGATGTGTTCTCACGTTTAGTTTTTTTCGTTGCTTAATCTTGAATTTATATACATAATAATATAATACATTGTGTTGATCGGTCGAGTCACTATATGATGAATATTAACTTAGCTACTTCGATAGTGGAAAGGCCGCAAAAGTTGTAATTTTATAGTTTTTCAAAAATGTTGCATACATTTAAATCTACTGCAATGTTCATTATTTTTATAAGTTTATTTTATAGTGTTACAAAATATTACAAACTATTTGAATGTTTATGATTTATGAACTAGAGAGACGATTTTTAGTGCACAAATATTGTACTCCCTGACGTGTTTTATTAATATTGAGATAAATATTTATATAATAGTTGTAACTATAAATTAATGCATTTTTGGATTACAAAACTTATGGGTTCTCATTGGTATTGCGAAAGAGTGGTGATGGTACCTACCTATTTAAATTTTATGTTATGTAAAAAAAATACCTCAAAGACTGAAAAAGTTTGCACCACCACCGAATTGATTACACTGCAGCTGCCTGCATAATATATATAACCGACGGATATTAGGAATCGAACGTAAATATTATATAATATTATAATAAATTAAATATATACATAATGCGAGACTCTATATTATGACAGCCGTGTGAGAATTTTAAAAATGTTTTTTTTTTCTTTCTAATATTCATATTATTTATGAAAGCAATTTCGCACTAATATATGTATAAAAAGTGGATGTGACATATTTATACTATAATTAATAATTACGCGTTTGGAAGGTCTTTCGCCGATGAAATAGAGCCTACTATAATACGTCGTAGACGTAGGTACTCACAAAATGGCTCTCTTAGATCTCTTTCTCTCACACTATCTCTCTTTCTTTTTTCTCTGTGTGTATAATATTATGTGTTTGCGTATCCGATTTTGACAAGACGCGATGATTGATGAACGATATATTATAACACACCGCGCATAATTATATATATCTGCGTTGCACGTGATACCGGCGGCGGTGACGTGTCAACGGGAAGAAGAGACGTGAACAAAAAAAGAGAGAGGAAAAAACGCTTTTTTTGTGGCCGACGAGAGACATGGCCGACGACTGTGTAAGGACGAAGACGTTTCGTCGTCGGACGAACGTAAAGGTATCAGATGACGCAGGCGCGCGTATTTTCGACTTATTGTCGTGCACAAGTCTCCAATACCATCACCGCTCCACCGTCATCCTCATCGACCTCAACACGTACTTACGTACAGCAGCTGTACATGCTCAGAGTTTGGGACTTACAAAATAAACGTGTGCAAATCGTACGCATTAGATTTTTTTCTTCAAAGCTTAAAATGATTAATGCGTTGATCACTTCATTTTTATCAAAAATAGATTAAAATAATCGTCAATTACATTTGGCTTAAATAGTTTAATTATTGCATACTAAATTTATCATATCAGGTGTGTCTATTAAATAATAAATACAATGCTTTAATATTTTCTTCACATTAAAAAATCGTATATTTTTATGTTAAACTATGTACGGTTCAAGTGTAATGCACTGCCGTCCTATACAAATATATTGAGTATTTTACAAGCCACATTATAAAGAAATATATATATTTAAATAAACTAGATTTCACATTAATTAGTTACAAATTTTGTATACTTATAGATAAATTCTGAATAAGACCCTATAGATGTTTTTATTTTATTACCGCTTAATAAATTATATATAAGTAAAGTTGTAAACAATATTATTATTATTTTTTTAATCATACAAGAATAGTTGAAATAAAATAAATTATTATAATATTCGGACCTGCATACCTCCATTATTTTACTTTGTCGGTTTTATAATGTCACTTCCTACACAACTACCAATATGTGATAAAGTTTTTAGGAAACTTGTTTTTAGGAATTTTTAATTTTAACAAAAAATTATAAAATATTACGAGTCGCAACAAATATAATTTAAAAAGTAATGAATAAATGTAAAAATAAAATTATGCATTAAAAAAAATATTGTCATTTTTTTAAAAATAATTCATACAAGTTTTCTAAATAACTGTACAGGTATAGATATAAAATACATAGCTAATGTATCAAACATATTTAGATTTTTCAAAAATAAATAAAATATAATTTTAGTACAACCAATTATTGAAAAGCAGCTACTCGTATAAACATTATACCTGGGAGATTTGACAGTAATATTCATTTAATTTCTTGCACATGATAACAAAAATTATAAACCTATGTTAGTTTCTATTTTATATACTGGTAACATTTACATGTTGCGTAGTAAAAAATATTAAAAATAAATTATTCCGTCATATAGAATTATTATGAACTATAGAATCATGTGATTCATTAAAATTCGATTGTTTAGTTAATGGATTTTTATTTTACATCAATATTATTAAATTAAAAACACATAAATGTATATATACATAATTATGTATGTAATAATTTGTTGTCAACATTTCAGCACCCAAATACAATAATAAATACATATTTTACGTATATAAAAAATTAGTAAGAATAAAACTATTACAAAATTCCGGAATTCTTATTTCACCGGGATGCCAGTTTAGCTGGTCTATAAAAAATAAAGTCCGTCTGCGGTGTAAATTGTACGGTAATACAATAGTAGGCCTTTGAATACCTACTAATATTTATGTTTATATAGGTACATATTATTTTTTCACAACAATGTTAGGGTTTATTTTCATGATTTTGTAATTATTATTATTATTACTATTATTTTTTTTTAAGTTAATCTTATGAACCCACAAATACATTAAAAAAAAATAATAATAATAACGTCTCGATAATTATTGGAAACCTTACGTAAGATTTAAGCAAACACATATGTTTGATATTATTTGTTATTTTTTCACTACTATTCAAGACGAGGGCTTATACCATTTTCACTGTTTTTTTTGTCATTATCATTATTGTTAGTTATTATTATATATTTTTTTTCGATAATCTTATTAATCTTAGAGTAGGTACATAAAAAAAATGACGTTGTAATAATTATCGGAAACCATAAGTTAGATTTATATAAACGGGCATATATATATTTAATCGACCAAGTTTGTATTAATCGCTTCTAAACACCATGTATTATACACAAGGCGAATTCGTATTAGAAAAAAATAAACTCAAAATATAATTATTATTAAATTTATATATATATATATATATATCTACTTTTATCCGACCCACGCGCGTGTGTCTATATCATAATTCATAATGTTATTATTTCGTAATAATAGTTTTCATTTACCGACGGTGGTGGGCCATACGTGCGACGCGTTTGAGTGTTATACCGATTATATATTTTTAAGGTCTCGGTCGTCGCAGGTTCGGATTACACATTTTGACAACGTGATATTATTTTTCACTGGTACGTTCGTGGCTTCTCGTCGTCCAGTCTTAGAGCATTTAAAAATATTAATCTCCGAATTATCGCCAAAACCTTAATTGACTATCTATATAAATGATACTCATACAGCGAATACACTTATAGGTATTAGGTTTGGTATATTATTTCATTATGAACTATATAAGTATACAGTCTGTATAATATAGATAATTAAATACGACGCACACCACGTGTTCGAGCATGACGTGCAGGTCGCTTCGTAATATATTATATTCCAATAAGTACATTACTATAATAATAGACAATATAGTGTACTTAATGCTCATACCTAATTATACACTAACTACATTTTTATCACGACGGCTACACAAATCGATGATATAATTATATAATATAGAACACTTTTAATTTCAAAACAAAATTGCGGCACAACATGTATGAGTATGAACGTATATGATGACATCCATTAATAGCAGCTGAAATTATAGATATTTAGTCCATATTATAAACTTTATTAATATTATTTTTTTGTACTATTTGCATAAACTTTTACTCTAAAGTCCAAAAATACTATCTCTCTCTTATTCGATCATATACATTAAGATTATTATTATTTTACATTTACACGTATTGTATATATTATACAATATTGACTAATGCATGTTCCATTGGCTTACATTGATCTATATAAAGTTACGTTTATATAGTTATATAACATACATTTCTGTACTATATCTGCGTTTGTAATGTATATTCTGACAGCTGAACTAACAACGTATTTATCACTGTAATTACAAATTGATTCAAAACAAATTGGCATCTTTAACACGAGAGCAAACACTTCATTTATGACTTATACATATTAAGCATATTAGTATAATATCACGATATACTCTTTGAACCAAAATTTAAATAAATTCAACAAGTATTACTTTAGAATTATACGAGTAAAACAGTAATCCGGGATAGTTCTTAGTGATATTATGACATACGAGTAATATTTCCAATAAGCAAAAAAAACCTATATAAAAATACTCGAATTTAATATGCCAATAAAAATTTAAATAGTTTTTTGTTTTTTATAATATCTAATATATTTATATGGTAAAAATTACTGAGTGGTCTATTCACGGCGAAAGGAGGTAAAAAATGTGATGATACATACATATTACATACTATACATCACATATTGCAGATACGTTTTTAAAATATATTAATCACAACTGAGTAATAAATAAATTCGATTTATGATAACACCATCCTCTATATATTCAAAATCATAAAAAATAAGAGGCGTGCATAAAATAAAACTCTTATCGCTGTCATTATTTCGTTAATACAGGTATTATATATGTGGTGTGTTGGTGCGGTGTTAATATATTATAATATTATTACGCTTCATATTTATGTGTGGTATATTATTACTTATTATGCTTGTATAGGATGTAGGTAAATAGGATAAGCTGGATCATCGTTATCCCACTATATATACACACAATACGCTTGCACATTATTATATAGGTATTATTATTATTTATATTACGACCAGGCTCCGCACGAGAGTTAAATTGCCCGATGATTTAACGGTTAAAAAGGCGGCATGCGCGAACGTTTTTAAAGACTCAATTTCTTTGTGCACTGCACCTAAAACGACGACGACGATTCGAGGACTTGAGCTATGCACTGCGCCGCGGTAGGGGATCGGAGCTGCTGCAGGCTCGCGAGCGCAGACGATACGACGACCGGAGCTGGTTGACGCTCATGCATAAACAGTGTGTATGTGTATTATGTATGTGTGTACAATAAAAATATATATAAATCTTTTGTCATGTTAATTGGATAATCGTTAGCCGAAATATTCGTGTGTATGTATGTATGTGACAGTGTGAAAGCTATTGCGAGCACACATACGATATATGTATAGGTATACATATTATATGGCAATCGTTATGAGCGGCAGCAGTGACGGTTTATTTTTATGTGCGTACGCGTGTTATATACACATTTTTATACATTAAAACATAAATAATAATAATAATAAAAAATATATATATATATATAAATAATAACGAAAAAGAAAAATGCACCGGACACGACGACGTCTCGCGGGTCTGACCACCACCGGCAGCAGTTACCCGTACACACATACACACTTACACACACACACACACACACACACACACACACACACACACACACACACACACACACACACACACACGACGTGCCTACCTTTATGATATGTATACGCGAGCTTGGTGTGAGTGCATGCGGTCCAAACGCTGTGGAATGCTGCTCGTGCGCGCCCCCCCGCAGCGGACACTCGTCGTCGTGTGACAGTCGACAAATTTCCTACGTTCGTTTCCATTTTAATTTTTTTTCACTTTTAACGACTCGAAAAAAAACATAACCTTACTATTTACCACTTCCCTCCGACAGACGCGTGACGAATATTTACAGTCGATAAAGCACGAGGAAAATTTAAGCCGTAAAATCACTGTTTACTATTTAAACGTGGTACTTCTGGATGCTGAGCAGACCACAATAATAATGTTTGTAATAAGTATATGTCATATTATATTATAATATTATACGGTTTTTTCTTCTCAAGTAGGAATAATATTTTGATGCCCTAGGTTAAGGTATCCTACCACGATCATCGCCGCTGGTCGTCTCGGCGCGCGATTTCAATTTGTCGTTTTCAATCTCGTTTGTTACCAACTTATTATCTGGTTAGTTAATTATCATTTATCAACTTTATTATACTCGACAGCAGTCAAGTCTTGGTAGTACTACATCGCATCAACGTACTCGTTATAGAAATAAACCTCATATAATGTACCTGCCATTTTTCGATTGGAACCTAAAAGTTAGGATGCTGAGTTAAGTAGGTACCCGTATTTTAATAGTTGTTACTAATTACAATTTTTCTGAAGCACGTGACAAAATAATAATAATAATAATAATAATAATAAGGATTATTCTATTTTGCATTGTAAAAAGAAAATTAATGAATGTAACTTGCCTTGTTAAGAGCTTTGAAGGAAACCCAAAACTATCGCGTGGATTTTATATTATTCATGTCTGTGCAATCCTATAATATATCTATCATGTCACCGCACTCGACGTGTATTTTTATACAATGATATTATTATGTGATTAGAAGCATGTATATAATAAATATACATAACACTGCAAGTCCGAGGACAGATTGTAAACAATGTTTTTGGACGATAAATGAAACGATTTCAAAAAAATTTAATACAACTATCTATAATAGGTACAGCTTGTCAAAATGCACGCTCGCAACTTTGGTGCCTAATAAAAATAATATTACAATAGGTGGTCGCCGCCAAACTGCCTCTATTACGCTCGGTGTACACCTACGTGTTCAATGTTATATATGATATTTTTATGATCGACGAAAAGAATTTTATTGCGTATGCACAAGACGACGACGACGCGACGGTCGTTATGCTGAGTTTACGGCTGTTTTCATATTATCGTGCCGCGTTCATAATAATATTGTCGTGTTTACTATACACATCACATTGCGTACCAATAATAGGTAATTAGATAGGTCGAAACCGTACAATGACAACAGTACTGCGTTTAATCGTTATATTTGTTTATCCCAGATATTCCCACAAAGTTTTTATGCCTAAATCTAAAAGAATATCGTCAAGAATTGTGTTATACTATTGCTATAATGTTACAACACTTATAAAATAAAAACGTAGTTGGTATAGAAAGTCGATAGCTTTATCACAACGTACCTCTATCCACAACCCATCCCGAGTGATTTTTGGTGGCGGCATTGGCGCAACTTTAATACTAGTATTTTATCATATGGACATAAAGTCGCAAACCCATCGACTATTTCGGCCTGAATGTTTAAGTTGTTACGTGAATATTATAAAAAAAAAACGTTCATTTTAATAATTAAAATAATATGATTTTATTTTGATACGGTAATTTTTATTTTTGCCTGGAAAATACGTTCGAAATGCACATTTTTTATGAACTGGATTATCTTGCTACGAGCACTGTACATCCTATTGTTACGCCACTGGTTATTATTATTACTATTATGTATATTGTTATTGTATACGAGAATCGTTCGAGTAAAAAACTAACCAACGGCCTCTTCACGACGTTTCTAATATTTTTATAAAGGCGTGTGCGAATCGTGTAAAACATTATTATATTATATTAGTTGCGCGTAAGTATTGGAAGTTTATTGGTTACAGCGATGGCTAGAGCGGCTTTTTTGATCTCCGACGAAGAACATCTAATAATACATCTTTTTACAGCGGCAGTGGCGTTGGCCGGACGTGTCGGTAATACCCATATATGCCTAAGTTTTTTCTCCGCGTTTAACTACCCGCCCATATTGTCGTATCGTTTATTATATAGCCGTTATACGATATACAGTCGTGGTCGATAACGTCTTCGTCGTGGGGAGGGGAGAATTCTCGCGCGCAAAGTAAAACTATTATACCTTTACAACAATAAAAACGACTCGTTTTCGCGAGTGAGGAGCAGTCATCATTACCCTTCCCCCTCATATAGACATACATACGGCACATATTATACATAAATGTGCATCGGAGTGGGTATATTATATACTGAACACCACTCCAGGTAATAGACGCGCGCGCGTCCGGGCCCGGTTTTATAATAATTACTATCGTCGCGCGGCGAGTCGGAGAAACCTTTTGTCCAACACCTGATAATTAGGAAGTGGGCGTAAACACGGGAATTATGAGTGACAATTGACGGTGCTGCCTCTCTTTCTATTCCCATTACCGCCACCGCCGCCGTATGGTGTTGTTGCGGCGGTGTGTACTGCAACAGCAACAACAACAGTAATAGTAATATGTAATATTGTAAGGCTGGCCGGCGTGTTATTATTTTGTTTTTGTTTTTTTTTTTTTTTTTTTTTATTTAATTTTTCGAAGGCAATTCGAATTTATGATGGCTCGGACCCGTAGCGTAGTGGTGGTGGCGGCTGTGGCGGACGGAAGACCCGAGTGTTTACCGCGCGTTTAATACATGCGGTGGTGTAGAAACGGGATAGATACCATCATCTCGGCGGCCCAAGGTGTCAGTTATAAAAAACGTGGTTAATTGCCGGTTAGTTATCCATTATACGACCACCGATGACGGACGGGGGCTAGACGATGACGGCGGCGGCGATGTATATGATATACCTACCTATATAATATTATACATAGGTACCTACTACATATTATTATTTCACTATTATTATGCAGTGTAATTTGTAAATAATAGTTGATATACACTAATAAAACGTTGCCGCGTCCCGTTAATGGTAGAGTTGCTAAATAGTAGTAGGGGCCTTTTAGTTTTTCGTTTGTCGTGGTATACTAGCGCAGTATTATGTGTGGCGTCAAGAGCGTCCTCGTGACGACTACTCTTAAGTTACAAACATGATATCATAAAGAAAAATGTTAGCTATCGAACGTAATTATTCAACTATAACTAAATATAGATGGATGTTCTATACTGAAAGTTTGGGGGAGGCCCCAAGCCGTGTGTACACACAGTCGAATTTGCGCGGAGTCAAAACATAAATTGAAACAGCTAAATTTAATGGGTTCTGAGTAGTGTAGTAGAGGAATTACGGATCAATAAAAATAGGTACATTATTATCGAACATTATAATATCGGCCTGTTCGGGCATCTCATCGAAGCCGACTAACAGTAAAAGTTATTTTATAGTTATAATACCAACCACGGGGTCGTCTCTCTAGATGTATAAATATATAAAATAAGACAAGTAGATCATATGTTTTAGTGATGTATAACAGAATCTTCGGAGATTCGACAGAAACAGACAGACTGCGGTAGATAGCAGTTTCGATGATCATAATAATAATGATAATGTAGCTGCAAGTCTATATAGCCGGCGGAAATGACGTTATAACGTCATGATCTCACTGCGCACTCGAAATCAATTACACTAAAGACGGTTTTTTATTCACTTTGAAAACTACACAGTGTTCATATACATATACATATACATATTTATGCATATATATATATAAGGAAGTACTGCGGCGCGCTGCGAGCGATGTCGCTCGACAGAGTCGACAGACAGCAGACCGATGTGGTAAAACGGAGAGAGAGAGAGAGAGAAGAGTGAGAGCCTTCCCGTTTCACAACGATTGAACGGTGTTACTACATTATCCAAAGTCGCGTCTGAAATACACTGTTATATATATATATATATATATAAAATCGTTCAATTATGTATATAACTCGCGTTCTAATTGCAGACCTATACTTACACGTGTATGTGTGTGTGTAACATCATAATATTGTATTCTCACGCTTAACATATTTATTGTGTACGTCATCGTCTTCATTTTGTATGTACATACCTATACATCATAATATCGATCCGTTATTTTTGTTTTATCCCCGCAGATCATTTTGAACTCGATGCACAGATATCAGCCCCGGATACACCTGGTCAAGTGGAGGGGCATGGTGACCGACTTGGACGCGGAAAAGTACCGGTCTTTCGTGTTCCCAGAAACCGTGTTCACGGCCGTCACGGCTTATCAAAATCAACTGGTAAGTACAAAACTGCATGTTATGTGTATATATATACCTATATAAATATTATGCGCAAGATGGTGCAGTAGCGTTTGACTTCTGCATAATATAACGTATACGCACTGGTTGCTATGGTATAAAATATATACTATATATAGACACTCGAATATCCTTTTATACACCGCGGCTGCGATATCTTGAAAGTATAGGAGAGAATTTTTTTATATTCAAGAACAAAACATACGGATAACCGCATATTGTATAGAAAAATGTAAAATGGTACATTAATATATTTTCTTAAACGTTTGATGTATAGATATACATAGATGCCGGTTTAAAATATAATCCAAGTATATCCCTATAAGACATTTCCGACCGGTTCACGTCATGTACCTAATAATTCGACATTTCGACAATATGTACACGTCTGTCTGGTCGTCAACGGCGCGCGCGCCGCCACGGTCTTTGGGGATTTAGTTGACAGTCAGCAGCAGATAAGTAGACAGGTCGTGTACACGGTATTCGTATTATTTTACAGGTGTGGGTACCGCGGAAGCCGTTCACCTGACAAAAATCGTTTTTTATTCCACTCGGTTCCTTTTCACTCTGCGCGTAAATTATTTCCCCCGGCGCTCGTCGTTTTCGAGTCATGCGTCGTTTGTATGACATGAACATATTATACATATATATATATAGGTACGCGCACTTATATACGACATGTACCTACGTGTGTTATACGCTGTATGCTAATAATATTATTATCTTCACGCGAATTAAATTCCAAACGTGGTAATATCACCACCACCGTGTCACAGCGTTTTATTCTGTTATTTTATGAATGCCGATCCCGAACTTCCTCCTCCCGAAGCTAGTTGTAGCGTCATTGTTACACATATTATACCGTAATGCTGTATTATATATTATATGCTTCGTGGATTGCTAACACACTTTGCCGAGAGTAGAAAAAGTTATAACAAACTGTATTTTTTATTACGCTTTAATTTTAATTACACATTTTATGACTTCGGTAATCATATACTTAATATAAAGTCATGTAACTCATAACTAATAAATGTTAACTCTATTAAAATCTATGTAGGTAATAAATCACGCGCTAAACGATTAAATATTTCAATTGAAAACAACAAATATATTATCTGTTTACTAAAATCATGAAAAAAATTCAGTTTTAAACAGAGGAATAATTTTTTTCATATTACCTACACCTACTATTATTACTTGTATACGGACGGAAATATGAAAACTGCGAGTAAAACATTCAAACTAGTTTTGTTCCTTTCATAGAATTTCTTTAAAATACTTAAATACTCGTTAATACTGAACACCTATATATAATGATAACCAACTTTCCTCTGGTAACTAACAGGAAAGCCATAATGAGCCATTACAATTTTTAATATTAAAATTAACATAACTTTTTAGTTGTTCATACATGATTATTGTTCGAGAAATATAAAAACTTAAGTGAATGCAGTATACGAATTGAAAACTTTGTCTTTATTGATACAATCTTTATTTTCGTTAATATCGTTACACATAACATATTTATTTCAAACTACTAAATGGCCCTGTAAAACTAAATATGACGTTAATATTTTCCCCAATACACTATTATCGTATATCTCAGTATAAGCAGGACGACGTTCGGCGTTTAAAGTCTAAGAAAAAACTATAAAAAAAAAACACTGGCCCTACGTGTTATATAAAATATATAGAATTACTTTTTTATACCTTTACCTATTTAGATAATATAAATATAAGCTTTGTACAGTTTAGAGGTTTATTCCCCACAAATCCCACTCCTACCACACAGTATAACAAGTGACGAACTGTGATATTATAATGTTGTATAATGTGGTGATCGATACTCAACACTGCTGTGGCCTGTGATCATGCTGTTTATATACTCATTCACGTATAAAATTTCTATTTTATCTTAATAGTCGCATTATCGACCCATGAGCAATTTCAATGCTAATTGTTAGGTACCAAGAGCTTATTGCTTACACGTGAATAATTGTGAAATCATCATTATTATTATTATAATAACAGAGATTTTTAATGTTTTTCTTTCCGTTACAGATAACAAAATTGAAAATCGATAGCAACCCATTTGCCAAAGGATTCCGTGATTCTTCACGACTAGGAGAACTCGAAAGGTGAGTAGTCGATTTTTAATGTAATAATTTTTAAAATTATTTTCAACCATAAGGTATATAATTGAACTATGAATTTTTTTCTTACATTAAATCTATAATTTACGAATAACACGTGTATCTACTAGAAAAAAACTACTAATTTCACATCGTATTCCATTTAAAAATAAATAAGTAGTATTAGATATTTCATATTACTCGACATTTTTTGAATTCTTATAGTAGAAAAAGTATACTTAATTTAAACAATAGTTTTGTTAATACTTATCAAAGGTGAGCCTAGCTAACAATCGTGCACGGAATTTATACATAGAACACCAATTAATGCAATTTTTGTAAACAAAACCAATTTTAAAATATTTTAGGATACTAAAATATTTGTTCTATGCATATGAAAGTATATGTACTTACTGCAATAATATAGTTGGAATTTGTATAAAATATGTTGTATATTGTACAATTACTGAATTTTGTAAAATATATAGCATATTTGAATATATAGATATAATAAGTAGGTACATAGATACTGTAGAAGTATAAAAATGTGTGTAGGTAATTAGAGCCGCCGTGCAAAATATTTTGTTGTTAAAAAATAAAATTAAAAAAAAAAAAAAAAAAAAAACGATAATTATTTCTCGCGCGTACAACGTCGCGTTTTTGTTTCATACCATTACATATATATATATATATATATATAACCCGCAGTAATATATATATATAAGTACTGAAACTGTTATTTTCTCCGTACGCGCTTAATATTGTTTTTTTTATGTTTCGACACCTCCTACTCGATATATAATCACCAGCGGCGGAAAAGAGCCGGTCACAAAAGAAAAGAAAAAGTAACACACATACACACACACTTACGTATATAATATAATACAGTCCCCTTAAAACCTATCATTTTGACACGTTGTTATATTATGGCAAATTTACGCACGGGTGTGATGTTTATAGAATCGGGTTTCCAGTCGTGCCACAAAATTATAGGGCACGGTATCGCCGCGATGAATTTTACACGCGATTCCACTTACTTTATTCCTGTACATTATATAGGCGTTATACTATACGCCAGGTACACACACACATTCACACATTCACACATTTATATATAAAATGTATATTCGCTTTGAGGCGTAGAGTATAGTATAAATGTGTATAATTGTGTATACATGAACATTAGCTGGTTGAGACTTGTGCGTGTAACAAATATACGGCACTCGCAATGCAAGTGGCGCAGTGGTGGTTAAAATCGGAAAAGCCCCGCCTGGTCGTGTCCGTCGAATCTAACCCTGCCGCGTTTTGTCTGCGAGAGGTTTTTTGTCATTTTTATTATTATAATCGAGGTACATTGGCACTTTGTATATTATTATGTTATATGGGTAATAAGTGCACACGACCGTTTCTTTTCGTTTTTATCGACCCCGCAATTGTAACTATCGTATGTACATACATAATTTACCTACTTGATAACGTCACACTCGTGTATTCTATCGCGAGTTCGCCATAATAACACTATAACACTACTACGTACTGAATAACAACAACAATAATTATTAAATTCTGTCAAAACCGAGCGTGGTATAATTTCTTCGACGAACGACGAAAATAATATTTGAAAAAAATAAAAACAAAACCATTGCGTGTTTCGCCTCTAGCTGTGTAACGACAGACACACGATCGTGTATGGTGCGTAATATGCCTACATTGTGTGGTGCCATTCATTTCGGATCGTTATTGTAGGCAATACTACGACTAAGTATTGTCGAAGTTATTGACTTTCCTTTTTTTTCCTTGAATTGTTTCCCACATAAATGTAGAGTAATAATAACAATAATAATAACAATATAGTTAATTCCGACAACGCACGACACTTACCACGGTTCGCAATTGACGAGCATGTGTCCCGTGTGCATATTACATTTTATTAGATTTTTCAGTTATTTTTTTTTTTTAAATTAAGGCCTTCAAAAGCAAGGGTTATTAGCTATTATATATTACATATTATATTATCTGTGTTAGGTGTTAGGTTTAAAAGTACAATATTACGTATGTTACATGAATTACATGTATAATATAGGAGTGTATATTATATTAAGTTAGGTTTAAAATTACAATTTACTAATAATATTTGTGATACTTAAAAATTCGATGAATTTCGTAGTTTGAATTTCATCAAGTGCTTTTGTTATATTTGGCGTCATGTTTAGGTTAGGTTATGTATTTCAATTATTATTATTTGATATTTGAAATGGTTTGAACTGTACCAATTTCCTGAACACACTGCATATATTCTAATATACTGCTGCAGAAACTAACAAATTTTACTTAATTTTCTGATCGAAAATTTACTTTTTGTATTTATCATTTGCTATTATCATAATTAATGTCACTACTATTCTATAATGATTGAGGAATAATATAAATATTATACCTATACAAATCATCATTGCAATAAACAAATTTATAAATAATTAATAATATCTACCATTTTATCATTCCGAAAATAACATCCCTGATTTTATAATTTCGTAACACAACGCCTAAACTAAACAATAAATATAAATGCTACATAAATTATATTTTTACCATCTATATTTACACATTAAGTACTAACTTAAATAATATGTACACACGTCTGTAGCTAATACACGGCATAGGCATAAAATGTAGGTCCATTTTTACTCTCAAAATCCAATCACTGGCGGATAAAATGTAATTTGACCATGTGCTCGTCTATCCGGCGCAGACTTCAGAAAAAACCATAAGCTATAGAAACACCATACTGTTTGATAGTAACATTTTAATGCTTGCACCACGCGGCGTTATATTATAGGCCACATTAATATATTTTATATCAAAATGTTGTACATCGGTCTAAAAGGTTGAACGTCGCTATAATATGACGTCGTCATTTATACTTACGTCTCGATGAAACGATAAGTGTTTCACAGGCTTTTCGTTATCGTTTTTTAACCCTATAATGAGTATTCTCTGTATTAAAGATGTACATGGGTTCGTCCATTAGGATCGTACATTCGACGTGTTTAAACCTCTTGGGATGTTTTCTGAACAGGAGCTGTGCAGGGCCATGTGTCATATACCCATATTATATGCATTTTGAAATTCAACTTCATACATTGTTTATCGTTTTATCTATCTTTATATAACCAGGTCTACAGAGGTCGATATTCTTCAACATGCGTCATTATTTGCATTTAAATTGTGTCTAAAATAAGCTTATAAACATTATATAAATAAATGTAGTTTAATCATGTAGGTACAACTAACTATAGACATTGGTATGTTACAAAATTATCTATTTGCTGTAGTTCTTATACGCCTAGCTATACGAGTATATTGTCTGCACATAGAGCCGACTGGTTTTAATTTTTGGTGGTACTTTAGTATCAAACAATTTTGACAAATACCTAAATATATGTTCCTTTAAAATTAATTTGGTTTTGTTGTAGTTGTTAGTATTTGTATTTTATTTCAATTGTCAGTTTTGAGTACCGATGTGTTTTGTTTATAATTTTTCATTTTCAATGCTACCTGAAGTATTATATGACGGTATATAGACAGTATTGAGTATATACACGAACTCTATACTTTGAGTATAAATGGTTGGTTTGGATTTTTAAAGCAATCAACGCACTTATAGTGAATCACTTATATGATTACAATAAGTCACTGTATATACGGTAAAATCGAATATTCAATGTAGATGTGTATCGTTTACAGTGACGTATATCGAATTCACAGCGCGACCAGACTTAGTGTCGTTTATCCAGCCACTGCTGTATACGATTGATTTCTATAAACTATATAAACTACAGTAAAGTGTTTAAATATAAACACTGTTTACCCATCAACATATTAGTATTGCACATATTTTAAAAATTAATTTGATTGAGATAAAAAAAACCCTAACAGTTAGTTTTTATTGCCCCACCGACTACCGCAGCTGATGCCACAAGTATATAATATAATAGATACGTCTTTATTATTATATTTTATATGGTATCTATATACTTAAGTATATCAGATAACGCGCCTAGTTGACTTTCGGTCGGGTTAGGACTCCGGTCCGCTAGCGCCGGGTGATGGTTTCCACGATAATTCTGTGTACTACTCCGAAACCGAAATCATTAAAAAGAGATTATACACGGGCGCGCGATCGCCAGTCATAGTAGAAATGTCGTCACTGTTGCGCGTCGGAAACGACTTCGATGAAAAACTGTGCACAATAAAAATATAGTCCCGTAACTATATTATTAATAGAATTATATTGTTATTATTTCTTCTTTTTTACGCTTCGTTTCGACCGTGCACGGGAAGTCACCTGTGTATATCTATATATATATAATTATTGCAGTAATGCATACTCTGAAATGTAAACAGATGCAACAAAGTTGGAAAACATTAGTTTTGTCGCAGTCACCATCGCCTCGAAATAATAACAATAAAAAAAGTAATAATTAATAATCGTAATATTCCATGATCACAGTGATGGCTTATCTGTTATGCACGTTCCAAATGAGAGGCTTCATAATATATTTTATTTTACTATAGAAACACGCTATTTATGATGTATCAACAACTAGGAATTAGCAAGTGCGATAACGGAAGTACACCTACTTAGGTATGCTTATAAACAAGGTTGAAGGTAAATCGCCCTCTTTTCTAGATTGTTTTGTTTCCTATTGGTCACAAGCTCATAACCGTCAGTGCAGCGGTGCGCTGTATTATGGTCGACCATGTGAAAATTTATATAAATCGTGTTTTTGCAGACATTGATGGTTTGAAAAGTAAAATCCGACGAATCGAAATTTCGAAAAATATCACCATCCCTATACACATACACAATTACGATGAATATACGAAAGTATATAACGTTTATTGTTAAAACTATGAATGATATTTGTGTAGGAGCTAGGCGAAGGCTAAGCGATTCGACCTTAATACGCGAGATCATATTATATACTCGCGGTTTCGACACA